AATATATGCTTATGTATATCGACAGCAGATATTCTCTTCTTGTGGTATTAGTGAAACTTTAATTTGGAAAAAAAACTGCTCTCATTGTGATACCTAGAGTTTTCATCTACAAAACACGAAATTACAATCATAAGACACTAACAGCCATGATTGATTAAGTTACTAATTTGTGCCAGGTCCTGTGATTAAATAGTTTAGAATTTATTATTTAAGTCTTTCCCCACAGTACCTTTAGATAAGGACAATTATTTCCATTTTACAACCATATTTTTTTCAACATTTTTAACCAATTTTATATTGTTCTTGGTGCTTAGGTTACGTCAGTAAACTAAAAGGACACCAATCCCTGATAAGTGGATATAAAATTCTCAAAATAATCAGTACCATGAAGAATATTATCGAATAAAAGAATTACAAAGTAGAACCAGATGAGGAGATCAGGAGAGTGGATATAAGTGTGTTACAATTTTCGTGGTCAAGGTAGGTCTCAAGGATTTAACGAAACCAGATATAAGACAACAATGATGGAGGTAAGTTAGCCTTGAGATTTCTGGAGAAAATAATGCTGTAGACAATAATAGCTATTCAAAGAACAGCCACTGTAGGCTCATAAAATATGGGAAAAGCCTCAATGAGTGGGAGAAATGAAGTTCAAAAAGAAATATAAGCCAGTATCTCTAGGAAATTTTAAGAAATGTGCTTTTACCTCAAATGAAATAGCAAATTTAGCAAAGCTTTGATGAGTAGAGTCACACAATCTGATTTCCATTCTCAAAAGACAACTGTAGCTGTTGCATTGGGAGCAGACTGCTAAGGGCAATGGCAGAGACATGGAGTCAGTTTGGAGACTACTACAACAATTTTGTAAACAGATGATGGAGGCCTCAAGGAAGATGATAGTGATAGAATGGAGAAATGAAAGTTCGGGATATGTTTAAATATAGTAGCAATGGTACAAGATGACACATAGGATATGGTGTGCAAGGGAGGGAGAAGAATAAAGGATGATTTTAAGCTTTTGTACCTGGACAAGGAGAAAGATAAAATTAATTATTGGTTGAAATGGGAGAATGGTGAATTAAGTAGATTTGAAAGGGATGAGTCTGTTTGCAACAAGTGGCAAATGTCAAAGCAGGAGGTATTGTCAAATACACAGATGGATAGATGTGCTTGGCGATCAGCAGAAAGACCAAGGTGAGACAAGACTAGATGAATCATAAGTGTGAGTGTAGATTGAAAAGACAACCAAGATCAGAACCAGGGACATTTTAACATAAGGAGTAAAGAAAGGACAAAAGACTTGCAAAGCAAATTGGAAGGGGGAAAACATATGAAAGAAACTAAACAATGATGCTTTGATATTCTAAAACACAAGTGAGGAAAATTTATCAAGGAAAATAATCCAATGTACAAATCTTGCTCACCGGTCAAGTGAGATAAGGATGGAAAATTGACCCTGGAATATATTGACACACTAAAATATGTGCTTAGCTGTTATAGTTTTGGCAATGTATCAAGTGTTAAAACAGTAAAATAATAAGGATCCATACTCATTATGTAGTTACCATTGGTTAAGTATTGAGCAATGTATATATAAATATATCTACATGCTTTACAAATATTATTTTATTTTTCCAAGTAATTCTAAATGTATGCACTCATTTCTCCTTATAAATCTAGAATCCTGATGTGAAACCTCACACAAGTAACCTGTACAAAGTTACATAGCCAAAACTGGAACTAAGACCAAAACTGGAACTCACACTTGCCTTGATCCAAATGTGAATTATAGTGTACTCTGATGTCTTGTGCAATTAGGAGATGGTGTATTAATACTACAAATGAGATAAAATTTCAATCAATACATTTTTAAAGCTTCTTCAGAATGAATACTTATGTATAGGCAAAAACATAAAGAATAAAAGCTATGCTAAAAACTGTAATGAGTTTTATCATGTTAAAATTTATAGAAAACGTAATAAGGGTAATAAGGCTTAACTGTAGGCTCAAGTCTTTATCTGCCTCACTTTGCAAAAGAATTGTCAAATGAATGATCTGCTAACATTCTTTTTTCTGTATTACTGATGTAATCAAAACTTTTGGCTATAAGTTCTAAGCTCTCCATTTGGTGTTCCAGGCAATTTTATTCATTGGCTTGGCATTTTAGAGAATGCATCAGAGAATGCATTACAGGTGGGTGCAGCTTCACTGTGGGATGGTATAAACACTTCTTTCACTACACAAATGACCTTGCATCATGAACAAAACCTTTAAACTTTCAGCGTCGTATGCACACATACACACATACTAAGCTGGAACTTGGTACATTATTTAATCAAACTCTCTTTTCTCCTATTAGTTTGCTAAGACCAACACAACTAGGGAGATTCATTTTTTTCCTTTCCCTCCCTCCCTCCTTCCTTTCTTCCCTCTTTCTGTCATTCTCCCTCGTTCCCTTGAAAATTACTCCCATTGTACTACATGTCAGGCACTCTCCTAGGCACCAAAGATACATAATAAACTAGATCAATTGGGAAGTATCTTTTCAGCTTAACACTAAAGTTGGGGAGATAAAGAAATAAATTTCAAAATGGCGAATTAGATGGGTAAAAGCATAATTAGTAGTTGCTTGGAAGCACAAGAGTTTTCTCCATAAAACAATCTTTTCTGTGATGAGGAACACTTGGTCATTTAGAGACATTACATACACATCTGTGCTCATGAGAAGTGGAGAGTTGTTTACACTGAAGGTAGAAGTATATCAGACAAAATTCACATAGCTGACATTACTCGCCAGAGTCACGCTATCCTCTGTTAAGGCCTACTATATTCATTTGCCAGTGTCCTTTATCATTGGATCATAAATATTTCCTTAATTAACATCATCCTTTTTAATAAGGATGATAATGATGACAATGGTGATAATTGTATAAAGATCAGGGCATTGTAAGTGGAACGCAGTACATTTTGTCCATTGCTCCTGTTGAAGTCTGCCAAAAAATTAGAGCAGGTCCCACACAAATAAGTTTTCTGATCAGACTATCCTTAGGTATGAAAAAATTCCAGTTACCTTTTTATAACCCGAAAAACATAAACATGTGTATATGAAAATGCACACCCCTTGGAAGCTGGATTTTTTTCACCTTTTTTCTTTTGCTGTACTGGTGATTTAATTCAGGGCCTCATGCTTTCTAGACAAGTACTCTACTTGATCCATACCTCTCTTCCATTTGCTTTTAATTTACTTTTAGGCAGGGTCTTGAGCTTTTGCCAGGGCAGGCTTGGATTATGATCCTCCTACCTTTGCCTTCCAGGGAGCTGGGATTATAGGCATAAGACTCTAAGTCCAAATTCCTTTTTTGGAATAGTGAGGTTTAATTATAATAGATAGGTTTAAAATTAGTTAACATTTGAGACTTAAATAATGATTCAGTGAAGTTGAACTTAAGTGTCAATCTTCTTTATATCCTTCAGTTTCCAAAGTGAGATGTGATGTTTTATCTTATGTATTGTACGCTTCTCTAATCATAGCCAATAGTAAAATCAAAATTCATAATATTGGGCTAGTAGGAGTTCTAAAAATTAATAAAGGAAAAATTTAGATCTACTAGGATTTGAATCTCTGGCTCCAGGAAATTGCTATTCTAAGGAAGATGCTTAGAGAGTATCCCACACCTTTCTGATTATAATCTTAAGAAATTAAAGCTAATTTTAATTTTAGAAACAGGAAATAACAATTCTTTTTACTTGCAAATATAGATGAGGTTTAAATAACTTCTGATGCAGTCTATTCTAATAGACATCATTCATCTCCCATACCACCTACATAACTCTTTTGAGTTGGAAACTTAAAATAACACAACTTATTTATTATATGAGATCTGGCACTGTAGAATAGAGCAGAGATGACTTCAAATCTCTGAGGGCCAAGAAGAAAGTATCTTGTGCACAAATAGCATTCTCTAATCAATAAAAACTGAATATCAATTTTGAGCCTACAACCTTGAAGTTATATTTAATAAGTTCCATTTAATGAGAAAATATATGGTGAATGCACAGATGTTGGAGTCTTCTTAATTAGCCCCATGATTTGTATTTTTAAAGCCACATGACACATACCCATAAATACAAGTAGAATTAATTTGTAGTCTTTTAAGCATGCCACAGTTTTTTTTATTTCTAAAAGATAAGCCAGAACTATAGAAATGAATGAAAGGTTTTAGAGCAGGTGTGTTGTTGGTGAGGACTATATTTCGTTAGGAATGACTTTTTTTAAGTATTTGAAAATGTATATCTTCAATTTCTTTGGCAGTAAGTGAGTCGACCATTCTAGCTTCGTAGTTGCATTAAGCATGTAATGAGAAGAAAATCTGGGAGGATTTGTTGAACTAAAATGAGTTAACTATCTAGTCAAATGTCAGATCAATTGAGGGGAACAGTAGTCAAAGTGGTTGTTTATTAAAATGAACATGAGTTCACAGATAATTATTTGAGTTTGTCATGGAGAGATTTTATCTATTGGCAAGGGCGTATACTGAATTCATTCCTATTCAAATTTTCTATGATTTAATGAATGGTTGCCCATTTAGATATAGCTACTGCTTTTAAAAAGCACTGGCAAGATTAACTCCCACTGTATTCAAGCTGATTGAATATCTTCATAGAAAGAAAATAGAAAGTGCTCCTATCACCTCACTAGGCCTGAAGAAAGCATTTTAAAATCTGAAGTAATGGCACTTCTCTTACATAAAGGAGGGAAATTAATATTTCGACATAAAAGTGTATAATATTATATGAAAGTCAGTAAAAATAGAACTCTATGATAGCTATTCCTATGATTTTAAATTCATCATATTCAAAATTGTTCCCCCACCCCATTCCACCCAGTCTAAATCACAGCTTGGCAAATGTTACTGAAACACAGCTTTTTCTAATCTCTCCTGTTCAATCTACATTGAGCTACTCAGTCAATTATACTGCTACTCAGTTCAAGGCTACACTTCCTTCAGACTTTTACTCTCCCATAGTGTAGTCCCTTTGATATCATAAATATTTCTTCCTACAACCCTCACGGTTCAGAAAACAGCCCAGTCTTTTTTCTTCATCCTTCCCTCATACCACAAAAAAAGACTTGAAATCAAGCAAATGAACTGTTCAAGAAAAAAACCATCTTACTTCAACTCTCTCAACACACACTTGCCTTTTTTATTTTTATTATTACCTTTTAGAAGTATTTTAGATTTGAATTCACAACCTCCAGGTTGCTAGACAGTTGCTCTGCCACTTGTATCCCTCCACCAGACCTTTCTGCTTTAGTTATTTTAAAGATAGGGCTCACGTTTTGTCCCTGAGCTGGCCTTGGGCTATGATTCTCCTACGTACACCTCCAACATAGCTAGGATGATATCTAGCTAAGTTTGTTGTTGAGTTGTTGGTCTTACTTTTTGTCTGGGCTGGCCTTGAACAATGATCCTCCCAATCACCATCTTCCAAATAGTTGGGACTCCAGGCAAATGCCAACATGCCTGGCCCAGATGTGAATTTTCAACAATTTCCTCTCTCTGGCTCTCCATCTCTGTCTGTCTCTGTCTCTCTCTGTCTCTATGTCTCTCGCTCTGTAAAAGGCCAAGGCACATAGAAAAAGCTCATATATATATATATATATCCTACTATCATATATATATATATATCCTAATAAAGAAAGACTTTTCAGAACACAAATTTAACTAGATTCTAAAGAAAATCATATTCTCTGCAACAAAACTTGCCCTTGTCATCAACAATAAGTTCCTCTTCCCTTCGAACAAGTATTTAAGATTTCTGTATTTCCTCAGCAATATGTTACCATTGTTGTAGCACACCTCCCGCGGAAAGGGAATACCATGACTGCATCAGAGTTTCCAAAGACTTTCTAGTCCCCTCTTCAAGGCCGGCAGCAAATCACCTCACTGGGAATTTCCCTGAAGCCCAGAGAACTTTCTTGTCTAAGGTATATGCTCCTGCTAGTGACAGCTGGTATAGAAAAAGAAAACTTCCACTTTGGGATGTAATTTTGAGACAAAATATAGCCCATCAGAACGCCAGCCAGAGCTCCTCACTGAAACTGCTGAGAGGTTCTAGTTGCCCCTACACGGAAGTCAATTTCTCCCTCTGCATCAGAAGCAACCTTCTGTGAGCAATTATCCAATTCATAGTCTGTTTCAAGAGAACCTAGTTGAACACATCTGTTTCCATAAGTAATTTTCTTTTTGCAACAGGATCTTGCCATATATCCCGGGCAACTTTTGAGCCTGTTATAGAGTCCAGGCTGAACTCAAGCTAGCAATCCTCCTGTCTCAGCCTCCTGAGTACTGGGATTTTAGGTGTTGACCACCATTCCAAGATTCTGTGATAAGCAGCACCCCTATAAAAGAGAGGGCCCTTGCATAGTGTGTTTTACTCATTTATATGAAGGTGTTAATTAATTGAAATGCATATTTCAAGAGGCAATTCTGGTTCTCTGTGCATATGATAGGATTAGTAGATACTGATTACTAAGGCACTACCAAAAACTTAGAATATTTAGCTTGTGCCATTGTGGATGGAAAATGTGTTTAACATGATAGTTGAAGCTGTGCAAGAGAACATTGAGAAAGCATCCAATAGCAATAATAATATATGCTAGAAGGACAAAGAGGTCAGAAGATTCAGCTGAAGCCCTCCAAAGGAACACCTTGATGTCCCCACTGACCTCAGAAGTTTGTATTTTTAAAACCGTGAACTCCTGTGCCTTATTCTAACTCTGAATTAAAATCCTCACGATTAAAGGAACGTGTTTTGACAACAGCTGAACTGTGTGACTTCTTCTTTTACTGAAATGCTAATGAGGATTCACATAACATTCAGTTTTTGTCTCAATAAATTGCATTCATTGTCAGTTTATCCTGAGTGTTTGGCCACTGCCCAGGTTATCACAACTAACTTCAAACACGGGTAATCTTATAAAGTACAGGAAAAAAAATACCTCTTGGCTTATTTTCTCCTACCTATTAGAGGTAAAGATAAAGTATCTGATAAAAAAAAAAGAATTAAATTGAGCTAGCATGTATGGTTTTTTAAAATTACTTCAAGGCTCATTTTCCCTTTTGTCTACAATTCAAAATTGTTATAATTATTGGCATTTAGCAAAAGACTTCACATTAGCTATTATCCCATTATTGAATGCATATTCTAATCTAAAGTATGTGACCTTTGTAAAAAACCATTTTGGAATTTGTGTTTCCACTTTGCTATCATATTATATAAAGCTTTTCTTTTCCTTTTCTTTTTAACATTCCCATCTTCAATTTGTCCTTCCTTCCAAATGGATTTCTGCTTTAGGATCCCTTTGCTGTTGGAATCATGAGAAAGGAATAAAATAGAAACATCCTCAAGTATATTCATTGAAAAATTACGCTCGAACTGCAATAGCTTTGATACACCATGTAGTAGCTTTTTGTTGTTGTTGTTGTCCTGGGGCTTGAACTCTGGGCCTGGGCCTAGTCCCTGAGCTCTTCAGCTCAAGGCTGGCACTCTACCACTTGAGCTACAGCGCCACTGCTGGTTTTCTGAGTGGTTTATTAAAGATAAGAGTCTCACAGACTTTCCTGCCCCGGGCTGGGATTTCACTGTGATCCTCAGATCTCAGTCTCCTGAGTAGCTAGCATTACAGGCGAGAGCCACTGGCACCCAGCTACCATGTAATAACTTTCTAACACCAGTAAGCAAAGGCAGATTCAATGAACTGGTCCCATTACCCATGTTGCCAAATACTTTTTTCCAAAGCTAATTTTATAACTGTTGCATCTGTCTTAGAAAAGAGGAAAGAAAAGGGGATATGAGTGGCCAATGATACCTGCTTGAGAACTGGGTAACCTCCTCAAAATCAGAAAAAATTTCAATAAAGATAATACTCAGGAGTCCCTTAAGAATTTCACAAAATTGAGGATCAAATGTACTTGGGTTCAAGCCCCAGGACTGATAGAAAATAGTGCTTGGGAGATACAGACTATAATCAATTAAGCAACTATTATTAATCTTCTCTTCTTTTACTCAATGTTTTTATTTTCTTAAATCAGAAGCTTTCTTCTTCATTCACAATGAATCATGCTTTTTGGAGAACATAGATCTAAAAGTGATCTGCGATCAGTAAATGCTTAAGCATTTGTTTGTGAACTGATTTACTGATGACCTACTCTATGCCCTGAACAATGCTGGGTCCTGGAAACAGAAGGCAGACAGGCACTTGCCCCCTGGAGCCAAGCTAAACCAATCAGTCAATGAGAAGTGCACACCAACTGACTAGAGCTGTTTACTCTGAGACTGTGTTATTAAGGGCCCTGTAGGAGAATCCCAACAAGGAAAAGCAGCAGTCCAAAACCCCTAGAGACCCCTTGAATGCATTTATTCTACACACTGTGGAGCTGGGTTCCTCTTGAGTACTATTCAGGAGTTTTGTCATGGTGAGAACAATTAGGGGCTTTAAAAGAGGTATTCAAAAATCAAACACTAAGAATCACAAGATTCAGTTGTTAGATTCAAATTTTCTCTCCTGGCCACATGGAGCTTTGTTTACACAAAACACCTGATAATGTTCTAAGTCTTTCAGTTTTCTATTTTGACTGCAGTGTTTCTCTCCCCTGGACAGTTTTCTTCTAACATGAAGTCAGTGGAGAGGCTGTAAACATTATAGGTTTCCTGCCATACAGGTATGTTATCAGCTGCCTACTGAGTGCATCTGAAGCATACTGCAAGATCCAACCTCAATTAAAGTACGTCCTTCACGGCCCTCTCTTCTATCTTGTCAACTGAACTGCAGCTCATTGAAGCTATTTTTGAGTAAGGAAAAAATAATCTATTTCCTGAAATGTTACTATTTCAACTATCAACAAGTGAGGTCTGTTATTCCGAATTTTCCCTTCAACATCTTAACAATGATTCATGTATCAAACATCTTGACAAAATGTGTGTATATACATACTGAGTAGTCGTTAGGATATGGGGTATAAAATACATATATCAACTATATCTGCTCAGTAATTGTGCTATAGCATAGCAACTATGATTAAATATTTGTCTTTATTTGTCCAAAATTGGTTTGTTGATGTCTATGTAAGTCAATAAAACTGTTGGGGAAAAACAAAATAAGAAGTTCTATCTCTTCAAAGCAGGATAAAGTTTGAAAATTCTTTGGAAAAGACCCTTTAGAAGTATCAGTTGGAAGCAAGAATGGAGCATAGAAAGCAGAGGTGATGTTTGTCCTAAATGCCAGGAAATTTCCAGAAGGGAATGTTTAGGGAAATGACTTTTTGTCTACTTTGTGACCCTAAAAACGAGAGAATGAAATGAAGGGCAGTTAGTTCCCTGTGTGAGAAGAACACACATATAAAGCTAATGGGAAAAGGGAAAATATTGGGGGAAGGTCAGTATGGAAAAGGAAACAGGACCACCACCCAACTCTTCTTCCTATTATGTCTCCAGAGATGGATATAAGGTAAAGAATGGCCTTTCTGTTTACAGGAGTTATACAGAAAAAAAAGATGCAGCCCACATATTCTGAGTAGGGGAATCATATAAGTGATCCTAAGTCAATAAATTGAACTAGCCACCAAAGGATTAGACATGATAACATTAGCTCCAACAAGAATAATTGTTTTTCTTCTACACTATAAAAAAAGAATATGGTATGCCAGGATACATCTCTATGTAACTAAAAGACACCACTGAGGGCTTGTATTATATCAGAATCATGCATTACACAAAAGCCAACAAACAGTAAGATCTTGGAAAATCAGTTTCATTTACTGATTCACAATGTCCTTGTCTAAAATGACATAATACAACATCCTTTATTACTACATTCTGTCTAACTCCATTTGACTTTTAAGAAGTTATTGTAATTTTTCTGGCTATATTTATAATAATGTATTTTAAACTATAACAAAACAATGTTATTTTATTCATTTATATATTTTTTAATATTAAA